TGGTCCTTGATGTTGAATTATTTTCTAAGTATGGTATACAACCAGAGGGGCTCTGGTCAATACAACCAGAGGGGCTCTGGTCCTAAAGGACTTAAGAGTCCAGAGGCTCTGGTCAATACAACCAGAGGCTCTGGTCGTCCATAGAGGCTCTGGTCTTCTTCCAGACTTAGCCATTTTAGCATAAGCGGCATCTTCAGAAGTTCCATCCTTATCCCCGATGGTTTAATAAAACTTTTTTTAGAATAATTAAGATCAATTTGATTCTAACAATATATATATATATATATATATATATCGTCTAGACACTTATTTATAAAAGATGATGTTATGGAGTTATAAAATAAATAATTGACTATACGAAGTGTTACTCGAGTTGTAAATTTATAGAGACGCTTTAAATTAGAGAGTTTGATTTATAAGATCACAAAATGTTTATTTTGATGTTTTAAGACGTTGTCGAGTTTTAGTCATAGGGTTTGACTAAAGTTAGTCGGGGTTGACCGAGTTGACCAAGGGTTGACTTTTGACATGTTTGACCCATGTGGATTTTAATGATGGATCAAATAGAGTTGTCTGAGGCATATTAAGATGCTCAGATATGAAGTTTGACTTTAGGTTGGGTCAAAATGACAATAGTTGACTTTTGTTGACTTTTTGAGAAATTAAGACGTTAATGAGATATTATGGTATGAAATGTGTAGGCAGTTGGTCAAGAGCTATCGGTAATCAATCTATGCGCAATCAGATGAGTCTTCATGAGACTTACAATATGCATACCTATGTATAAAGTTATTTTCAAGCATTATATGATTTATATGACAATGGGTACATATGCATGATGTTTCAGTTTACATACATGATATATTTTACATGTATGTTATTTTGTGAATGGTTGCATGCTATGTGTTTAATCAGTTTTCAAATAACTCTAGCATGCTATTCCATATTAAAGTTTGATGATTCAAGGGTGGGCATTTGACCTGTAAGTCACGACCAGTATAAAACATTACCCGGACAAGTGGGTGATCAATTAAGATTGAAATTATCAACCCAGGGCGTGTTTGTGACTAAATGACCCATACCCGACAGACAAGTTATGAGATCTCTTTTCTTTCAGTGTTGCATGTTTTTCAGAAAATGCATACTATTTGGTACAAAGTTTACAAGTTGAAATGTATGATGTGCAATGATCTTTACTCACGCAAACCATGAACTCACTGAGCTTTATAAGCTGACTATAGTATGCATCTCAGAGACAGAAGGTTTCAGGTTGGACAAAGAAAGAGAAGGGCATACATAGAGACTTGTCTACTTCATTTAAGTTCAATATTTAGGCGCAATCGTCTATGATATATAAATTTRTAAAGCAACCCGGTATGGGACGGGCTGACATTAAGTTATATATTTATTCTTTTAAAGTCTTCCGCTGTGAACGGTTTAAAGTTTTAATTTAGCCATTATTTTTGTAGTGCTTTTGGAGAATCTGTTTTAGATTACGTAACATCTCACATGGTAAAAATAAGGGTGTTACAAAAAATTAACTATAAAATTATAAAAAAATTTAATTGTTAATTTGATATAATATCGATATATTCTTTTCAAATTTATATTTTTTTAAATATAAAAAAATTATCTTTTTCTCAAAACCATATTATAAAATCGATAAAAATAAAAAAAAATAAAACATTAAAATCGAGATAAATACGTTTTTTTTATAAAAAAAACCTTTGGTTAGAAAATTCATAGGAAAACTAATTTCAACCAAACATCATTAATTTGTGATGAAAATCATTTGAAATGACTTTAGAAATGGTATTAAAAAAAATAATTTTCTTATCTACTTAAAAATATGAGAGAAAAATTAATCAAACAATAAATTCATAATTTAAATTAGAATAAGCTACAAATTTGGTTCCTCTAGTTTATTAAAAATAACATTTTTTGTTTTTACAATTTTGAAATTATAAAATGGTTAACATGATTTATAAAATTGTCCGGATTTGATCACTCTGACTGGTGATCGTTAACAAATTCTTATTTTTAGTTTCAGATTTATTATGTTTCTAAAAAAATTCAACAGAAAAAGACGTAGGAATGTGATGTTAGGCTCTATCCAAATTAAAAATGTTTATGATTTTCACGTTCTTTGTGGTCAAAAAGCAAGTTTGAAGAAGTTGATAAAACTTACGATCATAAACTTATGTAATTTCAATGTCGACAGGGACGAAAGGAAGTTTTAGAGGTAGGTTTCATGTATTTTTCTTATATTTGATAACATCTGTAAGATCCCTCCCGTATGTGTATTTTTCGGATTAATACTGTAATGGATATGTAATGTAAGATAGTATGAAAGAGCATTGCATAATTAATAGATATGAAACTCATAGGCTCCATATTTTATTCATTTATTATTAATGCATTCATACACCATATAATTCATAATCTCAAACCAAAGACATGCAGATAGCTTAGCCAATTGAGGGAGTTCGGACGACAATCCCACGAGAGTTCACACGAACTCGGACTCGGTCGCATCGAAAGTCCGCAGTCACTGGAGAGCCATCCAGTATCACAAACGCATCCACTCGTGGATTCTCTCTCTCTATCGTTACCACTGCATCTTCTCCTCTCTGTCTTACCAGCTCCGGCCATGAACTCTTTCCTGTATCAATTTAACCAGTCACAAACTTGTTTCATTGATCTTTTAACACGTGAATTTGCATAAGTTTCTTAAAATCGTGTGAAATGTGTATAAGAATTAACGAAATTAAAAGAGACAAAATAAGATTTACCTTCGCAATCTGTCATTTTTAAATGAGTTGTGAAAGAAATCGAAAATCTTTGGAATATAAATAGTGGTATAAGCATGTGACAATGGAGTATGAGTTGTACATTTTATGTTACGGGTCACAATTTGGGTGTGCAAAAGTCCAACTTTTTGGGTGAAAAGTCAAAGTGCCATTTTTGTTGACTTTTTTAATTTTGAAAAGCATAATATATCATCACCACTTCTCTTTTATTTCAAATCAATTTACGTGCACCTCGAATAAACCATACGATCCTGAAGATAAATGACGAATGTTTGGTTTGATATTCTTTGAAGTAGTTTTTTCGTCTCTTGAGACAGATGTAAGATTTATGTACATCTTATCCTTATGTTACCTACAGATAAGATACGTTGGATTTGTTTGGTTTCATGGAAATATTTCAACAACGAATTTGATAACAACATACAGAAATAAAAAGCCCTTAACCTATGCATACTACTACAAACATTACAAGAGTTTCGTCAAATCCGACAGAAGATGACTCATGTGCATTTCAGCAATCGTCTTCACCATTGATATAATCAAACTTCGATTACGTGATTTTTTGTGTGATTTTGCGATTAGTATGATGGTCTAACGCTTTATATTTTTTAGGTGTTTGCACATAGATTTTTTTCTTATTGCAAGTGACAATGATATGAATGCAATCGTCATCCGTATATTATCAAAATGTCACCCTTTTTCCAGATTATTATAATATTATCACCGTGTTAATTTCGACCGTCGATATTTCTCTCTCTAATCGAAAGGTTGAAAGTTGTTTTCACGGTTCTTGCGAAAAGGGATGTTCTCCCTGTCACACCTTTTTTCATGAGAACTGTTAGAACACTTTTCAATATTTTTTTATGTTTTATTCATCATCATTATTATTTTTCTTTAACAATGGATATCTAAGTCTATTTGCATGCACCTTGACTAATCTTTAAGAGTCTGGAAGATCAGCCATGAAAATCCTCGGTGGCCTTGCAGGAAAGGAGAATCTTCAAAAACCCAAGTCTTGTTCAAAAGGTTCTATTGTAACAGTATCAGTTAGTTATATGAGGTTCAAATTTTAAGCTTTAAGAAGTTGTTCATATACAATAATACGTTGTAAACTAGCTTAAAAAGGTATACATTAATAAGTCGTACATAATGTTTGACAAGTGTTTAATAGTTTCACCAAATACTTTAGGGTAAAGATTTATGGTTAAATGATAAAATTTGAATAAGTTGACAAAAAAAAATTATTTCATTTTAATGATAATTAGTACGAAATAAAGGTCCAGTGGCATTTTCCGCATGCATGAATATAATACGAAGTCACTTCAAAATTTTCTTGAATAGATGGTTGATCTCAAGCTCAAACATATGGTAGTACAAGATAACATTGGATAATTTATAAATATGAAACTCGTAGGTTTCATATTTTATAATTTATGCATTAATATATCTTTTATTTAATAATTTTGAGCAAGATGCAAGTAGCTTAGTGAATTACATGAGTTCGAAGGATAGTCATGTGAGAATCCACCCAAACCCAGACACGGTCGCACCGGAAGTCCCTAGTCGTTGGGGTACCGTCCAATAACACGATCGCATCCACTCGTGGATTCTCCCTCTATATTATCACAGCAACAGTCCTTCCTACCAACTTCGGCCATGAATTATTTCCTGTATTTGTTATCAAATCATAAACTTGCATGTTTAACAATCTTCTAACACATAAATTGTAGAAGTTTCTTCAAATCATGAGAAATCTGCACAGTCTATCATTTTTGGATGAGTTTGAAGAACATAAAGAACCTCGGGGAATAAATACAAGAACAAGATAAGAGCAAGGGTAGGCCGATGGAGTATGGGTTTTTGCATTATGTATTATGGCTCGTCCAAAATTCCAAACTATTTGGCTGAAAAGTCAATTCACCGTTTTTGTTGATTTGCTAAATTTGAAAACCGAGACAAATCACCCCTGTTCTTGACTTTCTAAATTTGGACCATCCATTACTCACAGTTATTAACCATAAATTTCTAATTATTGTAATTAAGACAGAAATAAAATTTGTATTCATCTTATCTCATGCCCTACATTTTGATGAGATATTGATTTTCTTTATTTTCTTTTATTTGTGATATTTTGTTTTATTACACACATGCTTCTACGTGTAGAAGCATGAGGCTCTACTCACCACATATCAAACATAATTTGGAGTGGTATCATTAAATAAATATTATTTTTTTCATAATTTTTCTTATAAATTTCTGACGTTTTAATGTTTATCGTTTTATTAGAAATTTTTTGGTTGCACATTTGAGAATCTAAAAGATATTACACTTACTCCAATTTTTCTTATTAATTTACGACGATATCATTTTAGTGGATTAAAATCTTACCCGATAATTAAGTGACAGTGTTGAGTTCTATTGGTAAATACTTACTCAAGTAAGCGTTTGGTAAACGGCCTCTCAATGATATTAAATAATTGAAATTAAGTTATCTATACTATATTATAAAGCATTTGACTAAAACTCTTAAAAACTCTTAAACTCTTAAAACTCTTAAACTCTTAAACTCTTAAAAACTCTTAAACCCGTTCATCCCTATCCGATTTTATCCCATATCTGAATTCGTGTAACTAACTGCAAATAAATACAATCAAATACAGG